CCCGCAAGGAGTACCAAAGGCCTCTCTTGTCCCACTCCCATTAATGGGAACCCCCTTTGAGACAGTTGCCATGACCGGGTGGGGCCCCTCACAAAAAGTGTCACCAGGTTCAAGTACATCGTGGTGGTCCTGCACTATGCCACCTGATTCCCGGAGGCAATTTCCCCTCAGGAACACTAAAATGCAAACCATCGCCTTGGAGCTGCTCAAGATCTTTGTCCGAGTAGGCCTTCCCCGGGAACGTTTGACAGACCAGGGAATGAACTTTACATTGTAGCTGTTCCACCAGGTCTGTGACTTACTAGGGATTAAAAAACTTGGGACCTCCGTCTATCAGCTGCAGACTGACGACTTAGTGGAGTGCTTCACAGGACCCTCAAGGGTATGTTGTATAAATTTTCCCCAAAGGAGCTCCGATATTGGGACCAACTCATCCCAACACTACTACTTGCTATCCGGGAGGATCCCCAGTCATCGATACGGGTCTCCCCATTTTGAACTATTGCAGCGGCCACACGGACTTCTGGACCTCATGCAGGAGAGCGGGGAACAGGTACTATCCCTGTAGCAGGGCCTCCTACAGTATGTCTTGCAGCTGCAAGAGCAACTGGAGAGAGAAGGGGCCCTAGCGAGGGAAAATTCAGGCAGCGCACAGAAGGCCCAGGAGCAAACATACAACAAGGGAGCCCCCAGAAAACCTTCTAACCCAGCGAGAGGGTCCTGCTCCGGCTCGCCTCAGTGGAATCAAATCTACTGCCTCAGTGGCAGGGACCCTATGAGATTATCCGCTGGGTAGGGCCGGTCACCTACAAAATCTAGCAGCCGGCCAGCAAAAAGAAACCAAACAGCAAAAAGAGAGGGCAGGTCTACCATGTAAATCTCCTCAAGCTGTGGAGGCAGCAAGAGGAGCTGCAGGCTGGTACCACCCCAGAAGCACTGGTGGTTCCAGCCCAACTGAGCTCCATCCCAGCTTGATGAGGGGAATCAGGCAGATCTCCTGAAGGGCAGGGGACAGCCTTGTTCCAGCAAAACTCTTGTCTCCCATCACCCCAGCTCCCTCCCGGCCCACCTACATGCTGGGATAGTGCTGCCCTTACCCAGGGTTGAGCCGCCGAAGGTGGACTCCATGGTGTAGCTGTTGGGGATTCCCATCCTCCACATCACAATCCGGCCCGTCCCTTCTTTACTCTTCTGGACCTTAAACTTACAGCTGTGGAAAGAAAACTACAACACCCCGGGTGGCTCAGCGCGGTGATGGGGCAGAAAGAGATCCTGGTTGTACCCCAAGGTGGGACTGCTCCCGACAGACAACCCCTTTTCCAGGGCTCCCCACGTCCCAACCGGGGGGCCTTCCTCATTTCCCTTGGGGACATTATTCCACAGTCAACAGCCCCGTCAGCATTAGGAAGCCCACTCATTCCTTGCACAGCACCCTCCTGTTTCTCCTAATCCCTGTGCCTTTTGGCCACCCAACACTAGCAGGCTGGGGTAGCGACACCGGCATTAAGATTTACTGTAACTACCCCGCCAGCACTAGCCTCTTAGCACAACTTTGTCCCTAGCCTCATTCTTGGAAACTGCGGAACAATTTTTGCTGAAACAATCCAAAAAATTCCACCCAAGACAGAGGACACGTTCCATCCCCAGTGGCTAAAACTTGGAAAAATTATACCCAGCTGAAAACCAGGGGTTGGAATGGGACGGGTTTGGGAACCTCAGCTGAGTGTATGTAGGCAAACACACTTCCTACAGAAACACTAGGGAGGGGATCCTGGCTCCACAAAGCCAAGGGGAGCTTTGCCTCTGATGTCCATGGGGCCAGGGCATTCCAAGCTCAAAGATGAAAACTCTAAAGGGAGGAAGTGCCAGATTGAAGGTTGCCTGTGCGCCCTTCATCCCGCCCCCAGGGCAGATTCAGTCCCTGGCTGTACATGCAGTGGTAACTGGGGGGGGTGCATACTGCGTTTTCCACAGGAGCCCTGGCCCTAGGTCCCTCACCCTTGTGCTCTTGGGGAGCCTGCGCTCTGCACTATAGGTGCAGCTCTGTTGTGCCCCTGAACAGAGCACCAAAGCCTTCCTGGCTCCATGATGTGATTTTCCCCCTACCCTCCAACAGCTGGCCCCGAGAGACTCCAGGCAAAACTGGGACTTATATGCGGAGATGCCCAGGCCTTGCAGCCAGGTCCCCACCCAGCCCATGGCGGCCTGTGCGGGGCTCCAAGAGCAGAGACGATGCTTCTCCTCTGAGCCCCTTCCCTTCCTGTGGGCTGCTCCCACACCCACCTTGTCAGGGGCGTTTTTGCTGAGCATGAGGGGGAAGACGCGCTCGTGGAGCCGCTGGGCAGGAGCGCTCTTGTTGTTGCAGCCGTACATGAAGACATTGTTCTTGCGGCTGTGCCCATGGAAGTCACAATACAGCAGAACCTCCCGCTCCTCCAGGACTCTGCACAAAGGAAGAAATCCTGAGCCAATTACACGCATGTATGGATCATAGACTATCAGGGTTGGAAAGGACCTCAGGAGGTCATCTAGTCCCACCCCCTGCTCAAAGCAGGACCAATCCCCATGTATGTAATCACACATGGGCCACAGACCGTATCACAGACTTCTGCTTGATTCGGGAGGAAATTAACACTCCATCTCAAATGCACGGAGCTACATAAAATCTGTCCCGTGGGGGATGACACTTCTCAGGCCTGGGCTCTGCAAAGTTTAGTCTGGCAAAGTTTGTACCCGGCCAGTTTTGAGCTGCAAAAATGTGTGGAGGGGAGAGTTCTGCTTCAGAAGTCATTCAGGGTATGTCTAGACACCTGTTCCGGCTCACTCAGGCTCACAGGGCTTGGGCTAAGGGACTGTTTAATTGCAGCATAGACATTATATAGTGCATACTAACGAATCTCAATTAGAGACTCGCATTGATTGACAGTTGCACATCACCTGCCCCGACTACTGCAGGAGCAGCTACCTCATTGTATGACTCTGACGTAGTGGCCTCCTGCTGTAATTTATACTGCATAAGAAACATTAATCCTCTTCTAGTGCAGCCTTAAGTTTTGGGTATATTTCATCCTAGCCAAATTATGTATTTCAGATTAGAAATAACAGATGCTAAAAGCTAATAAGCTGAAAATCAAAGCCTGCTTTATCGCTGGTAAATCCTGCTTGTTTTAGTCAATTCAGGAAGCACCCGCTACGTTCTGTCGTTTGGGGCTGAGGTTACAAAGACGCATTTCATTTTTTTTTAAAGTAGATTAGTAAAGGTGACACTTGTACTGGGATCAGTTAATAAAACTGGACCAATGGGTGCAAAAGGGAACATAACACCTGACTGTGAATTCAGAGCTACAGGGAAATTGGAGCAGTTATCACATTTGATGCAAAAGTGAAGTGGTATCATTTGAGAATCATCACAGAATAACTAGGGAGAGGAGGAGAGACGCTTCTGGGTTAGAGGGGACTCCGGGAAACACAACAATTAATCATAAATCCTAGCTTTTATTCCGCACTTTTCATCATTAGATCTCAAAGCGCTTTGCAGAGCAGGTCAGTCTCATTACCCATCTTTACAGGTGGGGAAACTGAGGCACAGAGAGGGGACGTGACTTGCTGAAGGTCACCCATCAGGCCAGTGGCAGAGCCAGGAATAGACCCCAGGTCTCCTGAGTCTCAGACCAGCGCTCTAGCCACTAGGCAACACTGCTTCTCTAAAAGTAGAATTCAGTTAAAAATTAGCAGACCCACATAGCAGCACTACTGACGCCCGTGACCGTTTACACCAGCAGACCACCTGGCCCCTGAGTTCACATACAGCTGACCAGCCCTGGGTAGGTTTGCTACCGTTGCACATTATAACATTTCTATTATTCATTTTTTTTAAATTAGGGAACATAAAAAATTAAATTCAAAGAACATTACTAAGGCTGCAAAGTCAAGTGGAGAAAAGATAGGCGATGCCAGAATTAAGCCTGCCTGTGCAACCTTAACTCTGCCCCCCTTTGCATCTATAATTAAATGATCACATGCTGTTTTTTCCACAGGACTCCTGCCTCATTCAGTGCACAGGACGGACTGCATTCAGGCCTGTGCAGCGACGGAGGCTGTTGTCTGTAGCACCCTACCCCATTTGCTGCAGATGTTTGAGTGTGTGTCCGGAATGAGGCAGGGGACTGCAGGAAGGAAAAGGAGAGTCTTGCAAAGGAGCTGGATTCTCCCTGGCTGGGCAAGCCACTTTCACCAACATTTCTGCAGGTGATCATTAATTGCGCGTTCTCCATTTTCTGGTTGTCCAGACGGGGACACCTCAGGGCTAGTTTTTTAGAGAGCTGAGCGCTCGCACTGCAACGGTTTGTCATAGGGAGCTGTGGGTGCTCAGCTCAAGTTTGGCACCCAAACCTAACGACCAGTTTCGCCCATATTGGCCTTCATCTCTGTGTGCCTCCGTTTCCCCATTTGTAAAATGAGGGTGACAATACCACTCGCCAGAGAGATGTGAAGGTAAATTCATTACAGTTTGCAAGGCCCAGTGATGAGCATAACAGAACACGGATATGCAGTGAGTAGTGTGCCCCTTTGTGAGTTTGCATTTTCGATAACAACCTTAATTGAGGCATTTCCTTGTTTGAGACTGAGTGACTTTGCAGCATTAATAATCGTCTCTTAACTTGGAGGGTTATGTATGCGCTTTCTCTCTCTCTGTCTATATATTTATAATGATCTCTCACTCTTACCTAGCACTTTCCATCTGTAAATCTCAAAGCACTTTACAAAGGGGGTCAAGATCATTCTCCCCATTTTACAGAGGGGGGAACTGAGGCACAGAGCGAGGAAATGATTTTGCCCAAGGATATTCAGCAGGCTAGTGACAGAACCAGAAATAGAGCCCAGCTCTCAAGTCCCAGTCCAGTGCTCTACCACTAGGCCACGCTGCCTCTAATCAATGGTGTTCTCTTTACCGTGCTACGTTATGGTGGCCTAGCTGCTCTGTGCTACACACCGAGGTCAGTGAGCCCTGCTTCTCACCTCTGGATCATGCTCCGGGTGTGCCAGATGCAAGGGAAGGACTCCTTCAGGACGGTTCGATAGTTGCGGTTGAGATCTCTCCCGGCCAGCGAGCAGCGGTAGTTCCCCACGATCACCCCGTCTGGATTGAGCATGGGCACCACCTTGAATATGAAGAGCTCACGGAGGAGCTGGGCGTCAGGGGAGTCGCTCAGGATGAAGTCCAGGAAACCCCTCATCACCCACGAGCCGTTGGTCTCCCCAGGATGCACCCTGGCGCTCAGCACCACAGCCTTCTTGGCGGCAGTGGCACCGGGGTTTTGGGACGGGCTGGTGATGGTGAGAAGGTAGACGGTGTTGCCGGCCAAACTGCTGCACAGGACCCGCGGCTTGCAGTACTGCGAGCGGACCGGGTCGCTGGCCACTGCCAGCAGGTAGCGCTGCAGGTCCGAGAAGGTGTAGGGGTAAAAGTGGGCAAAGTAGCAGGTGTCGTGGTCATGGGGGAAGCACGCCGTCCACGTGAGACAATACATCGCCTGGCCCTCCTCGGAGCTGCACCGGTAATACCGGATGTCGCCCCCCTCTCTCCGCCAGCCCACGCCACGCGTCTGCGCTTCCTTCTGGGAGTACAGGAGCGGCTTCATCCCCATGCTGTACAGGCTCTTGGACTTCATCAGGTTGACAATGGAGAAGCGGTAGGGGATGCCTTTCCTGGTGTTCCTGACCCGGAAGTAGAACCACTGGGTGTGCTTGCTGGTGTACAGGTCCATGCACAGCGTCAGCTCATATTCGTACGGGCCTCTGCAAGGAGGAAAGAGAAAATAACACCCAGAGCAACTTCTCCCTTCACACGCATCTGTGTGAAGGACAGGAAAGGCCACAGACAGACCTGCTCTGTGCACATCAGCAGCCGGGCTATTGGGCTCTGCTGGAGGGGTGTTAGATATTTTGATTCAAACAGCATTCCCTAGTTACACCTGTAGTGTTGTGAAAACTGAGTTAAAATTATAAGCCACCACTCTAAATTTCAGGGAGTTTCCTGGTCCTGCTTGCAAGCTAGGGGACGCTATATGGAAGTGTGCAATCTGGTCTTTCAGCAGTCAATCAGCAGAGATCCAGCCTAGAGTCAGGAGGGATGAGTTGGACCTCTCTGCCTTAGGGAGCAGCCTGCTTTGTCTCTCTCTGCTTTTGTATGGTACCATTCTGGATTCTAAGCAATAAAGTCATGTTACGTTGCAACCGTCCAACAAGAGGATTGATGTTTCTATCCAACTTCTCTTTGTGTAGGCCGTGAACAAAGACCGAGATTCCCCTCAACAGCGCGCTGCTCTATGCTAGGGAATAGGTCTTTGTTCCTAGCATTCATTACATGCAATGATATGCAAAAAGCTTTAGTTAAAAGGACATTCTTTACATGGCAACTCCAGCACTAGATCATTAGGAAATACCAGCTTCACACCTGTCCGAGCAATCTGACCTCTGCTCCATTATGTACAACCTGTAAAGACACGAGCACCTGCTATTTTCCCCACAGGATGACCCATCTCAGTCAGTGCATAGGATGGCTCCAAAGTTTCCCTTCCCATAGCCCCTGGTGCACAGGACACAGTGGCAGAGGTATTGGGACTGTTGCTAGTTGGCACAAAGTAGAGCAACTCCCAGGCTGCTCGAACCTGGGCCGGGACAGAGAATCCTCCTTCCCCCCTTATGAGGGCTGTGGGGGAGGGGAGCCTCTAGGCTCAAGCCTGGCCCGTCAAGCCCAGTTCCTGTTCCCCCAGCCTGGCAGAGGGGCTGTGATGGGGCAGCCAGATCTCCTCCCCTGTGATGCAGCAGGCAACCACTGGGGGAGCTGCAGCAGAGAAGGGACAGATACTGCTCAGTGCACTCCCAAAGCACTGCCCCCTCCCTGCTCTCTGGGATGGGGCTGATCCAAACACTTTGTGGCCATCGTCCCAGTGAGGCACATCTTCAGTTCCTCTCCTAATGCCCCGTCCTACTTAACACAGCCGCCCCCTTCACCTGCCCTCCATGGAGAGCCTGGACCGGGCACCCTGGCTTAGCTGGAAAGCTCCCTCTCCCCTGCCTGCCGTGGACAGTCCCACGTCCTCTGCCCCCTGCCCTCTCACTCACACTCGGACGGCCTTCTGGAGGTTCCCGCTCTCGAATCTGGATTCAAAGAGCAGGGTGGTGTCCTCTGGACCTTCCAAGCTGACGGCAGGTGACGTGATGGGCCCTCGCGCGCCTCCAACGCGGGAGCAGGTGAAATAGGAGCCTTTGGCCGCTGCCGGGAGAGGAGATGCCCTTGTCACACTTGCAGCCGGTGCTAGACCCAGCTCCCTGCTCCTTGTGGCATGGCCCTCGTTTGGAATCCCACTGCCCTCCAATGCAGGGCGGGGAATTTGCTCTCCCAGCGACTCAGCTCTGCCTCAGTCCAAGGCAGGGAACCTCTGTGCTGCAAGTGCCCAAAGCACCCCCCACTACTGAGCAAACACCCCACTGCTGCTGAACCTCTCCTGCTTCATGCCCCCTCGCCCTCAGGTATTCTCCCCCCACACACAAGACAGCCTCCCCACTGCCTTCGCTGGGCTCCGTGGGCGGCAGCCTGGAATCCCCAAGCCATGATTAGGGAGTGCCAATAATAATGACCCCTAGCTTTCCATCCCTAGATCTCAGAGCTCCTCCCAGAGCAGGTCAGTATCAGTATCCCCATTTCACGGAGTGGGGAACTGGCACAGGGAGGTGACATGACTTGCCTAAGGTCACCCAGCAGGCCAGGGAACAGAACCCAGGTCTCCTGAGTCCCGGTCCGGTGCTCTATCTGCTGGGAGACGCTGCCTCTCCTGCTGATGCTCGCTGCCGGGATGAGAGTGGATGGTGGTGTGCCAGTAGCACATTGGCCCCTGCTCTCAGGATTGGAGAGAGCACAGAGAGATGGAGACAGAGCGTGGGCCTGCTGCCGCGCCCACCTCCACGGCTTGGCCTGCACGCCGCCAGGGTAGGATCGGGATCCTGGTCTGACCATCTGCCCTGCGGGCTGCAGGAAATGGGACTTACACACCAGGCACAGAAACATCCCTGTTATGATGTGTCTGCACCAGGGATATATCTACACAGCAAAAAATACCCACGGCGGCGAGTCTTAGAGCCCGGGTCAAGTGATTTGGGTTTGTGCCATGGAGCAGTGTAGATGTTCCCGCTCGGGCTGGAGACGGGCTTCAAGACCCTCCCCCCTCGCCAGGTTTCACAGCCCCAGCTCCAGCCCATGTGGGAACATCTACACTGCTGTTTTTAGTCCCGAAGCGTGAGCCCCGCAAGCCCGAGTCAGGTGACCCAGGTTCTGAGATTCACTGCTGCGGGGCTTCTTCTTGCTGAGTAGACGTACGCTAAGAGCCCCGAGCCGAAGGGGCAGCATGGCTCCATGAAGGATTGTGTGTGGCCACGACTCACTGGAGCACTAGGTTCAGCACTGAGCAGCCGCCAGGCCTAAGGACCAGCCCCCAAAGATGGCCACATTGAGGCTTGGTCCACACTTTAAAGTTACATGGGCGTAGCTACGGCAGTCAGCAGTGGGAGAAAACCACAGCCCTGCCCGACATAGCTGTGCCGACAACAGCAGCGACACCGAGGAAAGACGGCTTCTGCCGATACAGCTAATGTTGTTTGGGGAAGGGGTATTCCTGCACCGACAGAAAAACTCCTTCTGTCGGGGTAGGCTACACCTCCGCTAGGGGGCTACATTTGCATAGCTACGCTGGCATAGGCTTTAGTGTAGACATAGCCAAAGGGTATGTCCATACTGGAGCTGGAGGTGTAATTTCCACCCCGGATAGCGATACCCACGCTAGTGTGGATCACACCTCGAGCTCCTGTGTTGATGTACCCCAAGTTCCCACTGTTAGATCAGGCATGTCACGCAGGGCAGCTCTAAGCTGGGAACAAAAAGGTTAAGGAGAGTTCCCTGGGAGGGCAGGGCTGGTTCACTGGAACTGGGTGTCCAAGAGCCGTGCTTGCTGAAGGAGCAGAGGTGGTAAAGAACACCCGACGTGCCCACGGGAGCCATCGTGAGTGCCCTTGGGGACATCTGGCTGCTGCCCAATCTCTGCCTCTCTCCTAGGGGATGGTTAGAAAACCAGTAAGACACTTGGGCCCTGCTAACTGGAGGCTGCTGGGCAGTGACTGGTGGCCATTTCCTATCTCACAGATCCAGCAAGCCGCTTATGAGCTGAGATCTCCAGAATCTGCCTCCTGCTGCAGGACAACAGATCAGAATTCAACTCCTCGACAGAGACGCATCAGGCTGTGGGATCGCTCCTGTAGGGAAGGGGTGGGAGCCGCATTGCTAGGGGCAGGGACATTTGCCGCTAGAAAACATAGCACAGGGAACATTCCTGTATTGGGACCTCTGGGTCTTTCCCACCCCAGCGGTGATCTGCGGATGAGGCATGCTCTGGAAAAGCCAGCGTTCAGTCATTTATAGAGACCTCAGCCATTGAGATCCAGCCCATTCAAGTTTTACGGTTTGACCAATGATTTCCCAATTAACGCCCAGTTGGCTTCATTGGGTTTCGGATCTGGCCCTGGGTTATTTTCATGTCTCACGCGCTGGAGATGAGAATTGTGCAGATCTGTCACCCGAAGTGTAGAGCAAGACTTCCTGTGTGAGGCCAGAACGCCCGAGCGTTTCACGTGAAAACAGGGAGCTCTTGTCCCACTCTGTGTTGGAACCGGGGAAGAAACGACGCCTTGCAGCCAGTGTTCTCAGAGACCAGCCAGGCGCGGCTCAGTCCTGCCCCACAGCAGGCCTGAAAGGGGCTTTACAGACACCTGGATTCCACGCCCAGGTTATCAGTGTTGTCAGTGCATGAGCACATACCTGGCTTTATGTGATAGACCACGGTTCCTTTCTCCTCCCCCACAATTAGTGGGGCCGGCTCAGTTCCTGTGGGCTGATAGAATGGCTCCGGTTCAGACGGCACCCACTCTGAGGAGACAGGGGGAACGGTTCCAGTTATTATTGCAGGGGTTTCAGATGGGAACCTGCCCCACAGGGTAAAGAAAAGCGCTCTCCTGAAAAGAGCTCTGAAGTCCCTGTGCCATTAGTAATAGAGCGAAAGGCATGGCCCTCCCCACATGTTCATTCCCAGCCAGTGTCCTCTCTTCCACACCGACAAGCCGGGGAGCCTGTGATTTTTAATAGTCCAGTGGCGGGGGGGCTGTGTTGGGAAGGAGGCTGACTGGGTAGAGTAAATCTGCTCTGAAGGGGAAGCACCTGGGCAGTGACAGAGCAGTCTAGTTTCAGACCCAGCCAGTCCCCTTTTGAAGATGTGACAGTCAATCGTTCTCCACAGAGTTTTAATGCAAATGCATGGAGTTAAGGGGGCAGCCCCACTGCCCTGTCCTGTCTGCTCACACCTTTCCTGGGTGTCATCCCCCAGACTCACCTGTGGGAAAAGCAGGAAACGCCCATTTCAAGTCCCCCACAAGAACGGGAGACCCCCCAAGGGCCAACAAATACTGGCTGGAAAGTTCTGTGCAGACTGCGCCGCTTGGACTGCTGCGGAGGCAGAGAATTCTGGGTAATGCTGGGCCTTGGCCACGTCTCTCCCAAGTGCTGACCAGAGCCCAGCTTAACCCAGCATGAAACGATTCATCACACAGAGGGAGAAGTAGTCTGGTTTCTAGTGCCACGATTACTCCACTAGGCCCCACTGGCTGGCTGGGAGGCAGACACAGCACTCTGACCTCTGGGCACCACATTCCCTGGCAGGGACTGAAAAACGAAGTGGAGCCAGAGGAGAGAAGCAAGAAAAAGATGAGCCGGCAAGGGGAGCTAAGCAAATCCAAGGCAGGGGAGCGTTCAGTCTACAAGCCGCTGCTGGGTGGATCCATCCCGGAAAGAGGGATTCCGGAGAACAGGGAAGCTTGAGGAGCAAGGGCAGAAAGGGACACGCTGGACTGAATGTCGGGGTGATGACAGCAAGATGCACTAGGCCATGGAACCGTCTGTAAAGAGAACTGGGGGAGTCTCGGTGCTGGGGACTCTAACTAGACACAACGATGAGAGAGAAACGACTGGATCTCTTGGCCAAAGCGCACATGGACAGGTACAGGTTTTCAGCGAGGCTCTAGGGCTCTCTCAAGGGGGTGGAATTTTATTCTTCCCAAAGGAATTGAAGACTTGAGTGGGTGCCTTGTGGAACGAAGCCTGGCAGATCTGTGCAATTCGCTGGGCAGGGTTGCACGGGTTAATGTTACCTGGTTAGCCATTAACACAATGGACGAGGCTCCCGTGGGCTCACCATTCAAGTGTGAAACCTCACTGCAGCCTGTTGGGGACCCTGTACATTGCCCCAGAAGCTCCCAGACCTCCCCGAGAGCTCCTGACCCACGGGCTTATGCGACAGGTGCAATCCCACTTGCCCATCCCGAGTCAGACCCCCAAAATCATGAGATTGGCTTAAAAATCATGACATTTGACAACCTCCTCCACTTGGGGCTCTTGTTATCTAACATCCGGTGTCAGCGCTGTCCGGGGTCACAGGCTAAAGCGTTTCTCTGTGACCATGAGGGCTACGAGCTCCTTTATTAAAATGACTGCTGAGCGTCTCATGCAGTCATGTGATTCCAGGAGCTGGAACTTTAGGAAAGACACATTCCATTGCAGGAGCTGGTAACACTGCTAGCGCCGGACCCTGACGGGCTGGGAGCTCCCGGCAGCCCCACACGGGACAGAGGCAGTGACACACACAGAGCTCCGGTTACCGATGCTCTGACGGGCTGGGAGCTCCCGGCAGCCCCACACAGGACAGGGGCAGTGACACATACGAGGCTCCGGTTACCGATGCTCTGACGGGCTGGGGAGCTCCCGGCAGCCCCACACGGGACAGGGGCAGTGACACACACAGAGCTCTGGTTACCGATGTGCTGGATTTGCTCCTTGATGACTTCGCACTCCACTGGCCAGCGTGGGGCCTGCAGGGGGCCTCTCGAGGTGGGCACAGCAAAGAGACCCCGTGGCTCCCGCAGGCGTGGGACCCCAGGGCCCTCAAGGTGATTGAACAGAAGCTGTTTGCTCTTGAGAAGTGCGACCTCCAGCATGAGAGAACCTGCAAAGAGAACAAGCACAGGCACTAGGGACTCCGCAGAACGGTGCATGGCCGGACGCCCCGATTTCACGGTGCACACACACAGCACAGCCGCGG